GATCAGTGATTACAGGGTTTGGGAGTGGGCAGGAGACAGAAGGGAAGTTTTGGGGGTGATTTTGATTGTGGAATTTGATCATATGCATTTGCCAAAACTCATAGCCGTGTACACTAAAAAAATTGGAGCATGCTGATGTATAGAAATTATACCTGAATAAACCAAACTTCAAAAAAAGTGCTAGTTCCCAGGAAGATGATGGCAAAGTTCTCACAGGGCCAACGTTATGCTCAGAGTAAGGGCCCATGAAGACAATTCACCCAGGAGCAACTCAGAAGTCTGTGCAGAGCCAGAATGAAATGACTATTATTAATCACTTAGGTCATAACTTATTATTTAATAAACAATGTAGTGTGCCTTCCCCATGCTGGGAGGCTGAGACGAGAACAAAGTCCAGCCCCTGTTCAGAAGGGCCTACCTGCGGAGTAGGGGCAGGGTACGGAAAAGACAATTAAGATATCACATGAATCATTATCTTTGATAATAATGAAAGAATCAGTATATAATTAGACTCTTCGCACATCACACAACTAAAAGCACAAGTTAAGCATTATAAATATGTTCCACATGCCTGTACTGAATAGCAGTAGAATGAAATAATAAAAGCTAGCATTTGATTGCTTACTATGCGAGGGGCACTGTGCTAAGCACCCATTTAAGCCTCACAAAAACCCTATGAGCTATGTTGAACGAATTCAAAAAGTCTGGAGGTTTTGCTAGAAATAAATGATAAAGATTTATTCAAGGGCCTTGGAGTTTGCAATCTGGAACACAGGCGAAACCCCAGAAGCGTTCCAAAGAAGAAAGAAAAGTTAAAGGTTGTTATAGTAAAAAGTATGGCCTTGAGAGTTACCAGTCCTGCATGCTGGGCTCTCGGATCGCTCCGGGACTGTTCTGACTCAGATGTCAGGCGGACAGGGTGACGGGAGCCAGGAGTTCTGGCCGGTCAGGGGCGTCTGGGTAATGGATGTCCAGGGGATGTGTCTGTTGAGTCATTCATGGGGCAATCAGATGGTCTGGATGTGAAGGTCCTTCGGTGGGTAGAGACTTACCTGAAGTCAGATGTACATCCAGGCAGTGATTCAAGACAGGAAAAGTTAAAAAAAAAATAAGTTCCTGGGGCTAGTTAGAACAAAATGGACTCTTTCTTTATGCCTTAACCTTCTCCATACTGTTAATAATTTTAGCTGCTTGATTAAAGTGACTTCATTTTATATATTCCCTATCATCCATCCCTGTTTCCTCAGCTAGGAACTACCATTATCAATCAGCATCCTTTATAGAGGAGGTGACAAAGTCACAGAAGTTTTTTGTTTGTTTTTTTGGCCCCTGGTCCCATAGCTGGTCAAGGAGAGCAAAGGGACTACTTAACCCCAGGCAGGATGGCCACCTCCAAACCATGACGGTGTACTGTAGAGGGGCACAGTGACTGCGGTCACCTGGACTCCCGAAGCTTGGAACTGGTTCCTGTCGGTAACTCTACCTCAGATCCCCTAACATCGGAGGAGAGAGGCCAAGCATGTGAAACTTTCTAGAACACCAGGATAAACCATCATTCCTTCTGAGTTCTTTTCCTGTGTTTACTCTTTACCCACCTACCCCCACTACTAAAGTCATACCTAAGTAGTGTAGAAAATGAAAAAGGCAAAAAAAAAAAGAACGAACGAAAGAAAGAAACAAGACAAACAAAAACCAAAACAACCCTCAAACAAACCAAACCAAAAGATTTTACTCATTCATAGTCTCATCACCCAGAGGTGACCACTGCAAACATGTTGGCACGTTTCCTTCTAGTCTTTTTAAAAATGTCTTTTATTTACATAGCTGAGGTCATACCTAAATGTAATTTTGGACTTTGCTTTTCTTCACTTAACATCAGAGGATACAAGTTTTTTAATGTTATTTTAAATGACTGCATAATAATCCATCACATGGATATTTTGTAATTTATTAACTGTTCCTCCACAATTAGATGTTTAAGTTGTTTCCAGTATTTTCAGTATTATAAATAACACCACTATGAACATTCTAGTTCATAAATCTTTGTATGCATTGCAGATTATTTTTTTAGGATGGTTTCCCAGAAATGTAATTAGTAGGTTAAATGTCATGAATATTTTAAAGATTATGTAGGGAAATATAGTATGTTTTATAAACAACAAATACAGCCTTTAAAAATAAATGGGCAGGCTTCCAGGGTCAAAAGTTGTGTATATGTTTATTCCTGTGTATAAGGGTGAGAGGGAGGGATGAGAGACAGAACAGACACTTTCTCACTCCTTGGCCAGAGTTCGATAATTCCTGGACTTTTTCTCTTGTGAGCTACTTCCCAATTTGGGGGCAGGGGGTACATGCTGATTAAATATTGATCTGCTGAGTGCCAGCGAATGGAAGCAAAGTTCAAGTATGGTGCTTGTATACCTTTTGCAAGGAGATGCTCCATAGAATCAGTTGGCCTTGGCCCTTCAGCATTTTTCACCGTGTACAGCGCTGTCACCACCATTATCTCAACAGCTTCTCACAGCTTCTGGGTGGGATGGATTGGGGCAACCCTTCCTATTGCCAGGTCATTCATTGGTCAGACACTCAGGCCCAGACAGACACGGCTTATCCAAAGTCATAGAGCTCATTAGAGAGCGCTGGGACTAGGGTTCCAGTCTCTTGGCTCTAGGGGTAAAGTCCACTGTCATGGACTGAATTATGTCCGCTACCCCCATCAGCATGGCGAAGCCTTCACTCCCAATGTGACTATACTAGGAGACAGGGCTAATAGGACACCAAGGTGTCCCTATAAGGTGACCCATGCAGTTAACCAGCCCTTTGAACAGAAACCAGGAATAGAGATGCGATTGCCATATTTTGCCATGTATAATGTACACCCATGTTTTTTGGCCCAAACTTGCAGGGAAAAAAAATCTTTCACTTTAATTCTTTTTTTAATCAGATTTTTTTCTTTTTTTTTTTTAGATATGGAAATGGTTTTTTAAAGATTTTATTTATTTATTTTTTTAGAGAGGGAAGGGAGAGAGAGAGAGAGAGAGAGAGAGAGAGAGAGAAGCATCAATGTGCGGTTGCTGGGGGCCATGGCCTGCAACCCAGGCATATGCCCTGACTGGGAATCGAACCTGCGATGCTTTGGTTGAGCAGCCCGTGCTCAATCCACTGAGCCATGCCAGCCAGGGCTCATTTTAATTCTTTAATTCAATTATGTATTTATTTATATTTAGAAAGAAAACCAAATATCATATTCCAGGGTATTATTTTGCATAAGGATATCATTATTGCTTTCTAGAGTTACGCTTTTAGTGTATAAGCATAAATAAAAGAATTAAAAACATTTATATAGATATGGAATTAGTACTACCCATGTGTAACGCACACCCTTATTTTTCTCTCAGAAATTTGGGTGAAAAAGTGTACATCGTACACAGCAAAATACGAATATATCAGCAGAGACTGCCAGTTTGGACCAAAGGGAACAGAGTCAGGATGAAATAAAGTCTTCTAGACTTCTGGGATTCTACAGGACAGAACAATAGAGCCACTGAGCACACTTTGTCCTTCTAGGAAGTGGAAAAATGACCCTGAAGATGATTCAGAGATGCTCAGGGCCACCATTCCCCCTCTGCCTGGAGGGCAAGGCGCTTGTTTCCTTGGTTTCTGAGACCGGGTGCCCCTCCAGGTACTGGGAGCCAGGCTGTTCCTGTCTAGTGCCTCAAGGGGCAGGGCTGCCGCGAAAAGCCCCAGGGGTGGGGCTGCTGCAGAGCAGAGGGGCCAAGGCCACTGCTGAGGGCCATGGGGATGGATGACTCGACCGTCTCAGTGTGCCTGCAAAGCTGAGCATCCAGCCAGAGGACTATTCTAGAGCTTTAATATTTAGTAGAATTTGCCTTGCTAGGTTTTGGGACTTGCTCTAAACCTATCACCCCTTTCTTTCTGATTTCTCCTTTTTGGAGTGGGGATAGCTATCCTATGATCTCCATTTCAGAAGCAAGTAAATTGTCGGGTTTGGACCCATTCACAGATGGAGAGGACTTTTGCCTCAGGATGAACCACACACAGAGTCCTACCCAGATCTGAGCAGAGTAGATACTTCCACGAGACATGGGACTTGGAGTTGATGCTGGAATGGGTTAAGACTTTGGGGGCTACTGGGATACAGTGATTATATTCTGCATGCAAGAAGGACATGCGTTTTGGGGACCAGAGGATGGAATATTAGGAGCTGAACTGTATTTACCGAAATTCATATGTCGAAGACCTTATCCCCCGTATGACTGTATTTGGAGCTAATAGAACCTTTAAAGAGGCAACTGACCTTGGGCAAATTAGCTTCTCAAGTCTGGTTTTCTCATCTGTAAAACAGGACACTATTAGTACCTGCCCTAGAAGATTATGGGGCTAATTAAAAGAGATGATGTATGCAGAGTTCCTGGCACATATTAAAGGACAATAAAAAGTAGTTCTTTTCCGAGATTAATTAATTAAGTAAGTTAATGGATGTAAAGTGCTGAGGACAGTGTCTGGAGCTTACTAAGTGCTATGTCAGCCTCAGTTATCACTAGCATTTAAGCAGATAGTAAGCCCTCCAAAGTCTTAAATCCTAACCACCCCACATTCCGGTTTTCCCCCAATTGAGATCACAGACTTCCCCTCCCCAGTGTGCTTCTCTGAGCCGTTTTCTCGGCCTGGGACTCCAATCCTCCCCGTCCCTAGCTCGGATGTCATCTTTGGGAGCCCTCTCTTCCCCGCCCTCCCTCTTCTCCCAGTCAGAAGGAATGGCTCCTTGATTTGTGTTCTGCTAAGAAAACAACTCTATATAGCACTTAGTTCTTTGTGTCTGGTGGTTCCGTTAACTCTTTCGAAGCCTCCCTCCCAGAGTGGCGGCCTCTGGGGACTGGTGCGGTTGAGTAACCTCTGAGTGTCACCCAAGGCGTCTGGGGCAGTGCGGGACACAGGAAACAGGCTGCTGTGCAGAGACGGGTCTTGTTTAACTCCTGCAAGCCCAAGCCCGGGACTCTCCCCAGGCCGCGCCCCACCTTCAGTGAATCCTGGCGGCCCAGCTCCGAGTCACCTGAGCCAGCGGACTCCCCAGGGGTCCCACCGACTCCGCCCCTGGCTGTCCCTCCCACCCCTCTGGGCGGGCCCGTCCCCTCCTCCACCTCCGCAGGGCGGAGCGTCTAGCTGATGGCTGGGAGCCGGGCTGGGAGCCGGGCTCGGAGGCACTGGGCGGTCAGTGGGTTCCAGACGCGTCGCCGGCTGGTTGGGGTGCTGGCATGGCCGCGTGCTTGTGAGTGCGGAGCGCGCGAGGGGCCGCTGCCACCATGCCCAGGGGAGCGGGTGCCGCCGGGCTGTGCCTGCTGGCGCTCGCCCTGCCGGTGTGGAGCAGAAGTAAGTGGCCGGGCAAGAGATGGCTGGGGTGGGGATGGAGGCGGGCGGGCTAGGTGGCCCGGAGACCTGGGAGCTGCCCCTCGCAACTCCTCCCGGCTGCGTCCCTGAGGTCCCGCAGCCCGGGATCCTGGCTTTGTTCCCACGATGCACGCCCTGGGAGGTGGTAGAGGTTCTGAGCAAGAAGAAAACAGCGGGTCCCCTCCCTGGCTTCCCTCCCTCCCTCCCTCTCTCTTTCCTCTGTGTTTTTTTTTTTTTCCCCTCCTGCTTTTGGCTTCTCTTTCCGCTGCTTTTCTAGTCTCTCCTCTTTTCTCCAGTCTTTGTGTGTGTGTGTTCCTATAAATACATACTGATAAAACTGGAACCATACCACATGTATAGTTTTGTGCTTGCATTTTCTACTTCACATAATGAGCATTTCTCACATCATTAAATTCTCAAAAAACAGGATTTTAATGACTACATTCCACCAAGAAATTGCAGAAGTATAATCTTCCAAAAGTTAAAAACATGACTCGCATCCAAATATAGGATGAATGGGTGGCAAAGATTTGTGCGGGTCATTAATAAGGCAGTGAATGGGGTGGCAAAGCTGGTTCAAAGCACTAGAGGAACAGGGATGGGGGGTGGCTGGGGGTGGGGTGGGTGGGGGAGAGACAGGCACTGGAGGAAGAATGTTGAAACCTTGTGCTGGGACAGAGGCAAAAGTGGTCAGTGCCCCCACACAACAGCCAGGGCCAAGCAACCAGGATCCTTCGTTATCTTTCTACTATCCTGAAGTCATTTGCATCTCCACCCATCAGAAATCTACAGTTGACCCATAAATGAGTATAGTCTTTTAATTAATAGTACGTTCAAAAAGTCAGACAAAGATACATTCCCCCAGGTCATTCAGTGACCATGGAAGGGCCTGTTAAACAATGCTACAGTGTGGTATTGAAAGGATGTCCTGCTTTCTCTTTGCCTTATTTCCAAATTTTGAACAATTTTTCTTAAAATGTCCTGTGGTCCTTCATCATGGAGCCTTTAGATTGCTTTCAGCATGTTTTATGTCATAAAGATCATTTCATTTTTAGATATTCCATGAAATGTCAAATCTTTTGCCAACAATCTAGACAATCAGAGCTGCCAGAGCAGGAACTGTGCTTCTCGGTGGCCCTGCGATCGTGGAGCACCTAGCATACTGCCTGGCACACGGTTAAGTACTCAGAAAACATGTAACGAGTAAAATGCATTGCTTCTGATTTTTTTTTTTACCAATATGATGAAACTAATGCACGTCTAATGAGATTATTTTTAGGATCTGTTTTGATTGAGAATACATCATATCACTAATCCAAAAGGGAAGTTAATCACTCATAATCACACCCCTCTAATAAAACAACCATGTCACTCCATCACTCAGTACATTCTGTGTCATTGATATGGTTGGTTTAGACAGAACAGATTTTGGAGTCCTCACCCTCACCCCCAGGAGCCCTCTGGGGTTTGGCCTATTCTTACAGAGACTAGGTCCTGGGAAATGACCACTTTCTTAAGATTGTCTGGCCCTAACTGGTGTGGCTCAGTGGGTTGGGCATCGTCCCACAAACCAAAAGGTTGCTGGTTCAATTCCCATCAGGGCACATGCCTGGTCAGTACCTCATGGGGCTAGGTTGGGGGTGTGCAAGGGGCAACCGATCAATGTTTCTCTCTCACATCGATGTTTCTGTCCCTCTCTAAAAAATAAGTAAATAAAATCTTTAAAAAAAAGAGAGTGTCTGCAACCTGTATTTGAGGTTGCCACCGCCTGGACCAAGTCTTTCTTTACACAAGTTTCAATTTGCCTTTCTTAAAAAATAGGAATCCTGCAACCTATATCCGGGGTTGTTGTGAAGATGAAGGAGAACTGGGTGGTGAGATTGATTTGGAAAGTGGGAAGTGAGAGCCAGAGGTGGATTTCCCATTAGGAGGAAGCTCAGGTCCGTGCTAGGATGCTTTGTGGATTGAGAAGTAATTTCACAGTGACTCTCCCCAGGTAATGCTGTGAGATGGGCAGGCAGGTATCATCATTTTCATTGTACAGATGAGAAAACTGAAGCTCAATTGAAATAATACCCATGGGCTTGACCTCCAGAATATGCCCAGAATCCAACCACTTCATTCTTCTCCACTGATGTCATTCTAGTCTGAGGCACCATCATCTCTGACCAGGCTGGGCTCTTGCGAGTCTCCAGTTTTGCCTTGTGCTTCTACTCTCACTCTCCCTGCCACGCCTCCCCCCACCCCCCCGTCAGCACCCAGCAGGCTGAACAATCTTTTAAATACTGAATACAGATCCTATTGCCCTGTGTTGAAATCCTCCAGTGCCTTCCAAGTCTACTTATAATAAAATCAAGACACTTTCCATGGCCTCTGTGATATCAGATCCATGGCTGTCTTGCTGGCCACATCTCCTACCAACTTCCCCTCTCATTTACTAGGACTCAAGCTACCTTTACCTTCTGCTGCTTTGGTAAACCGGTCAAGTCTGCTTCTGCTCCCGCAGGGTCATTGAGCCTGCTAGTTCCTCTTCCTGGGGCACCCTTCTTCCAGATCTTTGCATGGCTGCCTTCTTCTGGTTGGTCCCTCAACCAAATGCCATCTTTGATGACCATCCTGTCTAAAATAGGGAACCCTTCTTCAGTGTCTCTCTATGCCCTGACCCTATTGTACCAGTGGAGAATATTTGTGTGTTATCTATCTCCCACCTCTAGAAGATGTACTTGGTGAGGAGTACAGAGACCTTGCCATCTGTCTGGCCCTGTATTACCAACACCTAGCAGAGCACCTGACTCATAAGTGCCAAGAGCCTGGAATCCAGCAGATCTTCTAATGACCCAAGATGGGTTGCTTCCCAGTTGGAAGGGCATGCCGGGCTTAGCTAGGGTGCAGAGGTCTGGGACTCCAATGGTTGTGTTTCTTGTATCAACAGGAGGAAGTGGGGAGGGCAGCCCCCCTCTACAGCATGAACTAATAATACCTCAGTGGAAGACTGCAGAAAGCCCCGTGGGCGAAAAGGTAAGACCAAAAGCTCTCATTTTCAGAGGCAAGAGTTGACAACTTCACTGTGTGAGGCTTGGGCCACCTACTCGACTGGCATCATCAATAGTTCCATCTGACCCACTCTATCCTGTCTGTTTGTCATTTTTAGAATCCCACATGGGACTTCCCTACACCATGTGACAAATTTGTAGAACATATTCAAATGCTGTTAGTTGAGGAAATGAAAACCCATGTTCATGCTGATACAAACTAAGTGAAAATACGTGTCACGAAAATCACCAACTTATTTGGAATTGATTAAATATTGTCATTGTTATTCTTGCTCCGCGTAATCCATGCTTTATTTTACTGATGGGGTGATGCACTTGGAGAGGAAATGCTAATCCAAACTATTTTTTAAATAAGAAGCTAGGTAGGGACCTAGTACTAGGCAATATATAGCTTAAAATCCAATGGGCATCTTGGGCCACAGCACCAGCAAAATGCACAGGCTTTATCAAGGAGCTCGGGGAGAAGACGGAAAACACTCCCCTGTTCTTGCAGAGAGAGCCCGTGCATCTGGGATGTTCTTTGTGGCTCTGGTTTTTACAGGGGAGAGCTGGAAGGGAAGATGAGGTTGTTGACCTTCCACTTTCTGAACTCCAGTTTCCTCATTGATAAAGTAGGGCTGAGAGTGAATGAGAAAGGAGAGGGCTCGGGAGGGCGGGTAGTGAGTACGATCTCTTCGGTTTCAAAGGGTCAGTGATTTATTGGCAACATATACGAGCAAGATTATAGTAGGGAAGAGAGGAGAGAGCTGTGTCAGGAAGGATCTCAGACTTTGTGGCTTTTGAGTCCAGAAGGGTAAGTAGAGAGGGAATCCTTAATGTTATGGTTAGAGTCATACTGACATGTTAAAAAAATGCCCCAGTTTGTATTTACTAAGAGAACTTACAGCAAGCATTTTAGGACAAATGAAAAGCAAGTGGCATTTTACCCTAAAGACAATACACGCATTGAATTCATTTCATCAAAAAGTAAGAAAGGCTGAAAATAGCTTCAGGAAAAGTCTGGACAAATTAATGGATGGCCATCCTCGAGCTGGTTATTTTTAAAGATTCAGATCCCAGATCGTCCAACCTATCCGCTGTTGCCGAGGAGTGTCTCTGATACTCTTCGTAGAGGCCTCCCTGTTCCGCCCAGATGTGGGGTGCTGGGCATCCTCAGGAAGGGTTTGGGAAACAAAGCGGAGCCCCAGATCCTGTCTTTGTTCCCAGCCATTGTCTGCCCAGAATCATGGCGTTTCCTAGGAATAGTCATCCCAGGGCCTGGCACCATAAGTATTTGTTGAATGAACAAATGAAGGAATGTCGGGGGGAGAGGGAGGGCAAGTGGGGGTGGGTAGAAGAAGAAGGTGTGTCCACTCAAGCCTCTTGTTCTCATTTACATAATTAATTCATCAAACATCAGTTGAACACTCACTGTATAGTAAATACAGTCCTGGGTCTTCACAGGGATGCCATACATAGGACAGATTTCCAATACCCTATGGAGCTGAAGATCTGTTTCATGCAGCCCTAAAGTGAAAGGAATTTTAACCTTCTCTGGGGTAAATATAAAATAGTGGCTTAGCTCCTTGGGAGAGGCAAAGTCTCCCATTCCCAGCACAGGGTGGAGTCGCTGGAGAAAAGCTGAGTGAAGTTGGCCTGGGAGGCTGCAGAGGTCCTTGCAGTGCTGTTTCATTGCTTTGGATGCAACGTCCCCCTAGAAACAAGGACCATCATATTTAAAAAATAGCAGTGCCTGAGCTTGTTCTCACGTTACAGTTTGTGTCTCTTTGAGGAGAGGTGACAGTGCTTTGATTTGTGTCAGCTTTCCTTTTTCATGTGGGCTGTCCCATGGCCACCTACCTCTTGGATACGAGAATGGCTACCGCTCAGTTGCCATGTGCTTTTTCTCACACGACCGCTGGGGACGGTGTCCCTGAAGCCTAATGCGGTTGCACAGGGCCCTTGTTCCTGCACTCCCCAGGGCAAAGTGGCAAAGGACCAGCAACCAGAAGAGGTGTTGGCAGAGCTGAAGCAGGGCATCCGAAACAGAGAAGTGAACCCCTTAGTGAAAGTTATTGGGCAAACATCCACCTAACTTCCTCTCCCCATGGTTTTGAAATGTTCTTAAGAGAAGTCAATGAGACAAATTAGCAAAATAAAACAAGCCGAGGACAGGGTTGCTCAAGCATCCTGGATCAGAAAGTTCAGATCTCCTCAGAGCCCAGAAAGTGCCCAGGGCTGCCCAGGGCCCTACTGGGAGGTGGGGTTTGAGGCAAGTCAGAGGAAGAAATGTGCGTGGAAGACACAGGCCCCCAGCCAGAGGGGGATGACAGAGCAGATGACTGGCTCTCTCAGACATGCCAAAGCTAAGTTTTCAGTTCCGCACTCAGAGGGGCAGAGACTCCACCAAGAGCTTTTGTGGATTGAAAGAGACCTCAAGGGTTTATCCATTCCTGGCTGTCAAGTTGGAGAGCACATGTTTAAAATACCCCAGAGAACAGATGTTGTTTGAAACAGGTTTAAATATGTAAATCAATCATTTCTTCCTTCAAAAGTTGTTTAACCGCTGGAAGTTGAATCGTTGAAGCATGGAGATTTACTTAGACTTCGATTTTTAATTTCTTTGAAATTTCTCACAATAATAAAGTAAAAAGAAATAAGAGGCCTCTTCCTTAAGCAATTATAAAAACATGGAAAGTTGCACAAAAAATAAAATTAACCAGGGATCCCACTGCCTTGGAGGTAACTATGGTAACTGGTTGGTTTAGGGGGTTTTTTTTTCCTCTCTGCTTTTTCCTTTTTACAGAAGTATATTTAAATAAAACATGCTATGTGTACTTTGAGTTTTTGTGCTTTATAATTATTGATACTTTCTTGATGATTTAGAAATTATTTAAAGTCTTTGTTTTTAATGACTGTCTAGTGTTTTGTCATGTGAATGGGTCATCATTTACTTGCCCATTCTCCTATTTTGGACATTTAGGTTATATTTCATTATATAGGGTTGTAAGCAATGAACATGTTTGTGTAAATAAAGCTTTGCCCCATCTTCCATTTGTTCCTTTCAGACACCATAAAAACTCTTTTCAGACACTTAGAAACTCTTAGTCTGTACTGGCAAACTATTTTCCAGTGAGTTGGGTGGTGTCAACTGAAAATCTCTCTGGTGGGGTATGAGAGTGCCCATTGTACAGTGTGCTCCGTTGCACTGTGATACATGGTGTGTTTTTTTAAAGATATTTTTGAAAAAAATTAGAGGGGGCAATTAGCAGTGATGTTAAGTATGTTTTTCTTGCTAATTGGTCATTTGTATGATATCTTAAATAACCTGTGCTGGATGTATAGTAACTTTGGGCATCAGCAAATTTTCTCTTGTATGCAAAATGTGTGTTCCTTTGGCTTAAAAAAAACCTTAGCTGGAAGTGTTCCTAGTTGTCTCCTCTGCGATGATGGGGGTATGCAAACCGAGAGCCAAAACAAAATAATATAAAATAAGAACCCACTATGAAAGACTTGCCCTGGTATTTTAGATAATAGCCACCATGGATTGAGGCTTCCTGTATGCCAGACAAATTCTTCATACTCACTATGTCACATAATCCTACAAGAGCCCCATATTAGCTCTGTGTTATAAGTGAGGAAACTAAGCTGTAGGGAGGTCTAGTAACATGCCCAAGTTCACATCACGGCAGTGTCAGAGAGTCAGCCCTGGATGCCAGACCTGATCCCACGCAAAATTTGCTGTTGAAGATCGTGTTTTCCAGCATTTGCCTTTACCAGACCCGCGTGCAAGCCCTTACGCCACATATCAGCTGGGAGTTTCTTTCCTTTGTCTTTCAGGAGAAGGCAGATGGGGGAGGGCAATTTGTCCTTCTGGGACTGAAGCTATTTTATGTTTGGGCTGGAAATGCAATTGACCCTTTTACTTCCTGTGATCGATGTCAGAGCACTGTGCTAGATCCTGTGTCTGTCTCTGGGAGCGTCCGTCCTGCATTTAGGACCTGACATTCTTTTGTTGTTGCTTTCAGCATCCACTCAAAGCTGAGCTCAGGGTAATGGCTGAGGGGCGAGAGCTGATCCTGGACCTGGAAAAGAATGAGTAAGTGGACTCCTCCTTTGTCTAAAATGAAACAAATCACTTCCGTGTCACCGCCGGATGCAGGTGCCACTGTTTTGTAAGGAAGCAGTCAGTGAAGTGACCCAGGCTCTCTCTCAATCCTTGGTTTCTTTGTGGGGAGCCTCTCGCCGAGACAGCATTTCCACAACCTCTGGACTCACTGTGAAATTGCCGGACTGTTTAACAAGCCGTATTTCCAGGGCTTCCTGGAGTTCATGTGTGTGTGAGTGTGCACATGCGTGAAGGAGGGATGGACTCGAGGACTCCAGGAGTTGTCTTACTAGCTGCAGCTCGGGGCATGGCAGGAAGCGAAGGAGATCAGAGGCAAACAGCAGAGAGGAGAGAGGCCAGGCGGAGTGTTCTGGGATTTGAGCCTCCGACCCTAGCTGCTCCATCTGTTTTGGTTCAGCTCAATCTGAGATTCTGCCAATAAGGGCACGGTCAGCAGTCTCCTGGCTTCGTCGGGCTGCAGAGTCCACCTTTCTAACCTCATTTATCTTGGGTGGCGGCCAGAGTCAGAAACATTTCCACACTGGTTTGCCATTGTGCACAGTTACATCTTGATTCATGTTATTGAGCAGGTGAATAGATAATGCATGGCTGTTGCCTGCTCTTGGGTCATTCCCAATCTGCTCGGCCCCTAGAGAGCTCTCCCTGCTCTCCCTCCTTGGCCCGGAGACCCCTGAAGGCCTTTGGTATTTCCCCATTTGGGCTCCGCCACACAGACCTTGCAGATGAGGCTGCAGGGCTCGGACAACTGCCCATCTCCTCTTGGCAGCCTCCCTGGAAGCAGATGAGTAATCAGATGCCTTACTGCCAAGAAAGGGATGGCTGGGGACCTTCCCATATCCAGAAGGGTGGGAATGGCTAATGAACTGGGGTGGAACGGGAGAATATAAATTATTCCTGATTTGGGCTTCTGGACCCTTGCAAAGAAGGGTGAGCGGAGTCAAAAGAGGGCGAGCGGCGCCAGAAGTGTCGTAGAAGTGTGTGACTTCAGCACGTGCACTGCAGCATGTGCAGTGATGGGGCTTCATCCACGTCTTCCTTCCGCCTCCAGAAAGATGGGCATCTCAATTATTTTAGCTACTTTTCTTTTCGAGCGTCAACCCAGCCCAAGAATGTGTTCTTTCTGTCTCATTTCCCTGGAGCAGACCTGGCTGACTCCGTCCCCAGAGGGTGCAGGCTCTGCATGCCTGGGATTTCTCCTCGCCTAGTCATCCTTTTGTCCTGCAGGGAACGGCCCTTAGAGGGTCTGTTCCTGATCATCTCTCTCAGGGGTCGGCTTTAGTTTCTCATGGCCCCTGCCCTCTAGCTCTAATCTAAATGTTCCCCGTTGTCACTTAATCTAATCCGCCCTATTCTGCCCCCAAATGGAGCATTTGACCCTTCAGCTTCCTCTGGGCAGTCCAAGTGGTAGGGTTGCTGTCATGCGCAAATCCTTGGGAGTTGGGCCGGCCCAGGAGAGATCCCAGCACTCATCCCTCCCTCCTGCTTTGGGGACTTTGCAAGAAAAGGTCACTGGAAGTTATAGCGGAAGACACTTTAAAAAACACTGAGAGCAACGGTCTTACGTGTGGATGCAGAAACTTCAACTCAGAGGGGGCAGGCACTTGTCCAAGGCCACAGAGCAGGTAGATGTGAGAGGGGAGACCAGGACCATTTGTGTTCTTGGCGTGGGTCTGGGTTCGAGGAGAGCCTGCGGATGTGGTTCTGCTGTGTGCTGCTCTGAGCCGCTCTCTGGCTTCCCAGTGAGCGGCGGGGGACTGGATGTGGTTCCCTGCCTCCTTGAATTGGCAAGAGGCAGGAGACTTAACAAAAATGGAAACAGCACAGTCAAGCACTATGACCTCATCAGGTATCCCTAGGGGACAGCTTCCTGCTATTTTCGTCTAAATTGGGCTTTTTGTTTTTGAACATGTGTTAGCGAGCGGAACTCCAACTGCACACGAGTTCCTAGTGTGTTTACTTCCCAAACCCTTCTCATTCATGGTGTGTGTGTGAGGCCGGATGCAAAACAGCTTAGGGGGTGGGGATGATGGTTTTCTGATTTTTTTTAAACCCTCTGTGAAGGTTTTTATAATCCTGTGATTTTTGAGGGGAAACTGGGCCTTGTGCTAAGTGACTCCTCTGGCTCTGGTTTCTAAGCTCCTTGATTGGTTCATTCATACTTATTTTTTTTTTTATTTAGATAGAGGGAAAGGGAGGGAGAAAGAGAGGGAGAGGAACACGGATGTGTGAGAGATACATCGATTGGCTGCGTCTTGCCCGCCCCCAAATGGGGGCTTGGCCCACAGTGCAGGCATGTGCCCTGACCGGGAATCAAGCCGGCAACCTTTTGGTTCGCAGGCCGGCACTCAGTCCACTGAGCTACACCAGCCAGGGCGGGTCATTCATTTTTTTCATCTCCTCCGTGGCCATAGCACTCCGGGCACTAGTGTCAGTACTGGGAAGGTAGTTGTGAATGAGCAGCTCTGCCCTTACGGAGCTTTTATTCTACTGGCGGGAACAGCAAACAAATAAACAAGTGAACGTGTGCCTGTGTCAGCTGACAAGTGCTGTGGAAACGAAGAAATAAAAGGGCTCATCAGAGCAGGGGTGGGGAGGGGGGTGTGTTTAGGAATGGTGGTCCGAGAAGGCCTCGGTGGCGAATTGATACTTGAGTCAAGACCTGAAGGTGACAACATGAGCCATGGGGGTGGCTAGGACATGTCAGCTCCGAGGAGACAGCACAGCAGCTCAAAGGCCCTAATAGATGATGGAGGTTTCCATTCCCTTCCCCAGCCCTTGAACGTCTCTATTCATTGGATTGTCGGGCCCCCCAGGAGCGGTAGGCAAGAGCTTCTGAGACTGTGAGGGGAGAGAGAGAGGGCGTTTCTAATTTTTTTTTCATCATGTGGCGGTGTCTGGCCTTCTCCCATCAAATCAAAGCCCGCGTGCTAACGCATGGTCCAAAATAGCAGTGAGCGAGCCTTTGATGGAATTCACACATGGAGAGATCGCCAAGAACGGTGAAGATGGAAGAGCCGGGGTGGGGGGGTGGGCCAGGAGAGGGGCCGTCAGCTCAGGCAGCAGGAACCCCAAGGCCCCTTATTCAATAGCATGGCAGCTGGCAGCCTTTTTCTGCCTAGAAGCAACTCAGAACCAGCGGATGACATTCCCGTGGGAGACACGCTCTCCTGAGTGCACATGTGTCCTGGGGATAATTTACATATCGCTTTCATGTCAGATGGTCCTGGGTTCAGATCCCAGCACTCCCACTTTCCAGCTGGGTATCCTCTTTAAGCCTCAGTTTCCCTCTCTGGGATGTAATGATCGTCGCACTCTGTAGAGTCATGGGGAGGAGGAGATGGGATGGTGTGTGTACAGAACCCAGCAGAGTGCCTGGCTTGGATTCCATACTCGGTAAATAGCAGCTACTATTATTTCTCACTCGTGGTTTTTTTTTGTAATTGCAAAAGCAATACATGCTGATTGTAAAACTTGTAGCAATACCAAAATGTAATAAGTAAAAGAATGCAAGTCTCCCACCCACAAGAAGAATCCACTGTTGACAGGTTGGTGGGCATACCCTGGACCTTTCTATGCTTGTGAGAACATGCACGTCAATACTCAGACACATCACACAGAAGCACACACAAAGGCAGCGGCTATTTCTGTTGGGAAGGGAGGAACAGGAATGAGATTCTACTATACCTATTGTTCCACACTTGTTTTCTTGGACTTAGCCATATATCACGAAGGCAGTACACTGCTCTGATAAAGTATGTATTACATTGTTTTATATTTAGTCACACATATACACATAATTTGCAAATGTTGGTGCATATCTGCTGTTACGAGAACCTTACTTGTGGTGGGGGCTGTGTAGTACAGTGGAAAGAGTACTGAGCTCAGAGACAGACGTGCAGAATTGACCCAGAAGCCATTTGGCTGTCCTGGGCCTCAACCTTGTCATCTGTAAAATGGGGCTTTTGTCCCAGTTGGGCTCTAAGAGCTCCTCCTGCACCTCCTATTTAAAAGATACTGTGCAAGTGGAAGGATGGAAAAGAAGCACAGAGTCTGCTCTCCACTTGCAGAGACATTCCTGGTAAGGGGCACTGGGATAAAGGCAAATAGCCTCCAAAACCATGGGCCTTGAAGTTGCGGATGAATTGCCAGCTCAGGACCCAGCATTTAGGCAACACAAACATGAGAAAGGAAATTATAGAGAAGAGATTACTGTGCTATTTTTGCAACCCACAGTTTTGAGGCATCCCTCCATAATGTTACTTCTCCGTGTAATTTGCCCCATGCTCTGAGGACTGCCTCATCAGCCCAGAGACCATATTGGACACACACACAAAATCAAACCTCGTTTGCTGAAATGCAATGGAACCTTCCCGAGCTGTAGGCATCCGGGGAGATGCACCCCTCCAGGGAGATGTAGGCGTTTTCCCTCTTCCTTCTCCTTTTCTCCCCATCACGCCCTTCTTCCTAAGAGGAGGACATGCTGCACTGTTGAACCAGTTTGCGGGGTGCTCGCTGAGCTGCATTATTAGATGGCAGGATCGCTACATTGCAAGGTCACCTTCAAAAGCAAATGAACAGCTCACCTAGTGGGCACTGTGCCCAGAGGACCTTTGGCCATATGCTTCTCTCTGCTTGTCACTTGAGCACATTCTGGAACTTTTATCTTTTCACTGTACTGCCCTTCCTGCACCTGAATGATGATAAGATTGGGGTTTTGGCTCGGAAAAGGGGTGGATGTCCTTTGGTCTCACCCCATTTGTTGTGCTTCAGCCCTGGCTAATGACAGACCCTGTTTGCACACATCTAGTTAATAAGAATGGATATTTATTTTGTGTGTGTGTGTGTGTGTGTGTGTGTGTGTGTGTGTTGACCTTCAGACCTCATGAGAAACAGCAATCGTCAAAGCAGAATTGGGGCATTTAGAGGTTTGCTAGTCATAGTACCCACCATTACTTTGGAATCAAATCTCT